GATTTTTAAGGACATGACAGATTACCCCAGCTTCCAGAAAGAATTAACAGAGAAAGAAAATGCCAAAGTTGTGGCCCCAAACAGGCCAAGGACACAGAGCTCTCTGGATACTGCAGATATGACTTTGCAGGAGCCCCAGGCACAAATGAGAATTTCAGTTCTCATTAACAAACTTCCCTACTTTTCTGAAGTTTGAAAATGGTAACTGTCCAAAGATTCAAGTTGTAAAATTCGAATCCACTATATTATATTCTTCAAACACTTGCATTTTCAAAGTGCAAAAAATTTTGTGGCTTGGATTTGGCAGTGTTGAATGATTTCACAACAAAAGAGACACCTGTATACTTAAAAAATCCAAAAGTATAAAAATAATGGAAAATTATTCTCAGACAAAATTAATCTAATGTTGTAGGCTTTGGTCATGACTGTGGAATACACTGAAATTGAGGATGAAGCCAAATCACAGACAAAACTGCTTTTGAAAATTCCAGAGCTGCTGGATTTAAAAGGCAGATTCCTTGTAAATCAAACATTTTTGTTAAACCTCCACTACCATGAACAGAAATTTTCAATGAACTACAACAGAACCAATTCCAATTATGAGATATTAAGACTCAGTTTGCTCACAATGAAATTAAGGTCTCTAAGTGAAGAATATTTCTGCAGAAAGGGAATTCCCTTATCAGGAAGACTAGTTTGCTCACAATCAAATTAACTAAGACTCAGTTTGCTTGCAATCAAATTAATGTCTCTAAGTGAAGAATACTTCTGCAGGAAGGGAATTCCTGTATCAGGACATAAATGCTGAATAAAATGCAGTCAAAACAGGAAGGCCAACACACTCATCCATACTCAGTCTTTCAAACAACACCCCTTGGTCTGTACCGATTCCGGAAGCAGAAACTGAAAACCATCAGTCAGCTCCAGATGTTTGCTCTGTTACATCTCCAACAGAAAAGTAATATGTCCCAAGTGACCCATCCTGCTAAACTCTCTGCTAGTTAATATTTTTAGCTGTTATAAATAACTGAAGCTGGGCTTTTTGGTTTTTTTGGGGTTTTTTTTCATGTAGAAGCAGAGGGCAATGAGCAAAGGATTAGTGCAGTTCTTGCTGGAGGGAATCCTTTAAGGTTTGCCATTTTTATCTCCTGGTCTCTTATCAGAAATGGAAACATTCTATTTTGAGGGCTTACTATTTCAAGGACTAAGCTAAAATACAGGCTTACAACTGCCTTTACCCACTGGGGTTTGGGTTTATTTAGGTTTATGCAAGGAAAGAAGCAAGATCCTACAACATTTTTCATCTTCAGAAGTGTCTTTGTTGGTTTTGGAGACACCTGAAAGAAATGCTAATGAACAACGGTTTTACAACTCCCTCTCCTTTCCAACACAACCACTGTGCTCTGAGAGCAGCTCTAAGAGGTTTCTCTAGTAAATTGTCACTCTGTGCATGCAAGTAGTGAGCTCAGCTTCCCCTAAGTGGGTCATGGGATGCTTAAGCAAGGGAGGTTTTTCAAAGTAATATTAAACTTTTAAAGACATCAAATTTTGTCCTGGTGTGAGAAGCTGCAGCCTGAGAGCAGCTGGGGCTTTGAACTGAAGGGCTCCCAGCTGGAACTTTGGCAGAAAGGGATGCAATGATTAATTCACATCTGCAGCAACATATAGCTGCAAACAGAGGGGGCTCCTTGGAGACAGCCCAGCACTGTGAGGAAATGTTTTTATTTACAACCTCCTCTGAGATAATATTAAGAACACATGCAGATGCACCACTCAGCCCTGACTCTTGCTACATTTGGCCCACATCAGATGAAATCCAGGAATGACACAGGCACACACCCTTGAGTCCCATTTCCATCCCCTTTGGTGGCAGTGGTGCTGAGCCTCGCACTGGGTACAGTGAAAGAAGCTTAAAGTCCAGTAGTGTGTCCCAATTTCATTTCAATATTTAACTTCATTATGACTTTCTCTGACAAAGAGCTGTCTAGCATTCAGTGTTCCTACCTACAAATAAAAATTGCCTCCCCATCTTTTTCTGGGTAATAATTTGGTAGGGTCTAACCACCAGCCAGCCACCTCCACTGTCAGTCTAAAATGAACCTGGAAATAGGGTCCAGGGATTATTCTGCATCAGATCCAGAATTTCAGCTTGAACAGGGCTGGGACAAGACCTTCAGAGTGACAGAAACCAGATCAGATCAGTCTGAGCCTTGGGCAGTTCATAGGGAAGCCATATTCCAGTTTCCCTTTGCAATTAAGGAAAGGCAACACTACCAAGGATGGCCCAAATCTCAGGTGTAATGGTTTATCTTCCAGAGGAATTTATTTTTCCCTACAGACTATCAAAGAAGATAAGGGCAAGTAGACACTTTATTTAGGTGTCTTTATTAAGAACCTAAAATTAGGCAAGATTAATCTGGGCCACCTCCTTTTGTCAATCAGAGGGCAAAAGCACTGAAATAGGTTTTCTTGCCACTCATGGCCAAGAATCTGCAAAAAGCATCACACAAAGAAAAATTATTTTATGTTTCTTTGTGACATTCACTGATTTTCTACACCTTTGCTGTGTGACATGCTTTCCTTTCCTGCCTTCACTCTCAGGCAATTTTCAGGGCTGAAAGCTGCTTGTTGTTAACATAAAAAATTTATTTCACCTTCTGCTGGGGGATTTTCCTCTAGTAATTGGTTTTCTCCATCAGTGCTTCTTTTCAACTAGTGAATAAAGGATGTTTCCTCAGTTCTGATTGGGATTACAAGGTAAACTGATCCATACACAGTTGTGCTGTTGAGTTTTATTGCTATTTCTTTGTTCACACTTAATATTTACATAGCTGTGATTGTACATCACAGTATTGCATTTTAAAGATATTGTTCAATAAGCAAAAAATAAGGATTATAAAATAGTGCTATACCTTAAATTGCACTGATATTTAGAGAGTGTCTAAATATACAAGAAACAGACAGCCCACTTTATGCAACTTCAACAATACCTGGGGTATTTCAATCAGAAATGACCAAACTATTATTTTTAACATCTAATTTGGAATCTGATTTACTCTGTTCTAGTCTTTCCATGGATTATAAGGTGATTTCTGGGAGACTGGCTTAATTAGCCACTCTATTTGGCCTCATGTTGGCGTAACATGAATATAGTTTCTTCATCTATTACTGCCTAAAGTGCTACCTGTACCCCTTTTGGCTCCTAAATAAGAACTGTATCTGTATTCAGGCTTATAAGGACACAGAAATATAAAATTCTATTTACTTCAGTAAACATGCAATTAGAAATCTAAGTTTAGTTCAGTGTTTGCTCTCTTAGAAATGGGACAAAGCTCTCAGTCTTTTATTGGTTGAGATGGATAAAAAATTTCTAGTTTGGTTCAGAAAATAGTTTTGGAAGCCAAGGAAAAATATTTGCAAGTTTCCAGTAGAATTCAAATGAGAGTTTGAAGAAAAACCAGGGGTTACTTTTCTCAATGGCAAATCATTCATCTTCTGCTTAAAAAATTTTCTCTAAGCTGCCAGTACATTTTTTACTAATTTTAAAATTAAATATTGGGTTTTTTATTTGAAATAACATATTTATATGAAAAGGGGCAGGTAAAAATGAACAAAATTTAAACAGAACTCACAATTAAAGAAAAAAAAAATCTGAGTAATATTTACACAGCTGATCCAAAGAGATTCTACCCTTTTTATTAATTTCTGGCTGCTATCAAGCAAAATGCCCATCCTTTCTATTTCATTCACAGAACAAAAGCTGTTTACTTGCCTCCATATCATTTATAAAACAAGTAGAATGCATTTAGGAGTAGTAAAGTTTTCCATAAAAAGTATTTGGAATCAATCTAGCAATTCAGAAATTGTCCAATGCAGAGGAGATGAGAATGTTTTCAGAACACTAAATAAAAAGTGTCATTAGTAGAAAGTGTTATGATTTAATAAAACAAAGAGGCTGTGAATATTTCTCATACATAAGATATTCAAATGGTACAGTAATTTTCATTTTTTAAAAGAACTGTCAAGAGCTGTCCTTCTTCTGATCTGGTTGCTTTGATAAATAGAGGATAGATGAAAAATTGGAGTCCAGGAAAGAAGTTTTCAGTGCTTTTTTTGCCCCAAGTTCTTGCTCAGGACATTTACTATTAGCTCTTTGCTTAAATTTCAGCACTGCTATCTGGAATTCACCAGGAATTACAAACTCCCAGGAGCTCTCACAGCACATTAACATCACACTCTGCCTGTCCCAGGTTTATGAATCAGCACAAATGGAATTAAGTGATAGTTTGGTTTTCAGGTTTTCAGCACATTCTTGGTACTGCCAGTTATCTCCACACTGCCCTGCCTTTCCTGCTCTACCTTATTCCAGCTCATTTCCCTACTGATGAATTCTGGTTATATTTATAAATTAACAGCACTGTGTGGGCCAAAATCTAAATATCCATTTTATCAAAGAGCACAGATGAACTAGAAGTCTACAATTAAAAAAAAAAAAAAAAAAACCCAACAAAAACCCACCCTTACATTGTTATCTAAAAATTGAAATTATGCCAAATAAGCTTTGCAACTTTAGGAAAGCCTCAGGACAGATTTGTGTAGGAATATTTCCAAATTATAGCTGCACCCATAAGCATTGACGGCAGGTCTAAAAAGAAAGATTGCAGCGGGGGCTGAGCTGAAAGATGGGAGAAAGCTTTTCCTATTTTAGAAAATGGAAGATACTTGAAGGAATCTATCCCAATACAGAAGGTAATGCTTAGCTTGAAATCTGGAATCATCACATCCACTTTGGAGAAGCTTTTCTTAATAAAAAAGGAAATAATTTCTTGGACAAAATGTTAGGAAGCAGTATGTTCCAAGGTTGTACCAGAGTTAAGTGATGGCTTCAGCTTTTTGTCCTACTGCTTTGGGCAAGAGTATAACAGAATTCAAGTTTATTCCAAATAATTTCCCATTCCCATGTGGGCAAGGGCAGGAAGACAGAGCACCACACAGAGGTCATGTTTGATAAAGTTTATTTCTCAGAGGAGCCAGAACATGTGACTAACAAGAAAAATCCTAATTCTCTAAAATTTTATGCAGCAAGCTCAGTTCTAGAAGGAGAAGAAAGTGCAACAAGTGATTTCAGAGACAGAAATGACACAGAGTTTGAAGAAGTACCAACAATTGTGAGTATATAATGCTAAATAAAAGATCTTTTATGTTACCTTCTTATTCACTTCCCACCTCTTCCAATTCAATATCTCTCAAACAGTTTCAGTGAAACTAAACTCAAAAACTACTTTACAAAAACCCACTGTAAAAAGGCAATTCTGCAAAATTCTGCAGCCTTCTACACCTTCTGCAGTCTTACCAAGAGATTTGATGTAGAAATCCTCTAGCTAGAAAAACAAATCAGCTTATCTTGGTTTGTTCTGGTCACTGTACACAAGTCAAACATGAGAGGTGGCAGCTAAAAAAGCACCCACACCTGACAGACCAAGAAATTTAAATGTTACTTTATACATGTAGACTGAATGTACTGAGGGGTTTTTCCCCCTCTTTCCCCCTTCCTTCCCACAAGACTACACAATGTAATAAATGTTTTGCAGTTTGGAGACCTGAAGACCACAGAAAGCAGCTTCATCCAGGATGGAGAAATTGAAAATGCCACTGCTTATGAAGTTAACACAGAAAGTGTTGATGGTAAAAATCCCTTTCATTTCTATTTTTACACATCAAAGTTATTCTGCCATCTACTAAACAATATCTGGAAATCTCAAATACTCTCTCAAACTTCATTTGCTCATTTTTTTATCAAAAGAACAAATCAAACCATTGTGACAAAGTGAATAAAAGTTTTCCTTGGATATAGCCTTTCAAATTGGAAGGCAACACTGTGCAAAGCAGAGGGAATAATTATTTTTTTCTGTCTTTACAGGTGAACGGAGTGGGGAAACAGAGAAAACTGATGAAGGTATTAAAGAGAAGATTTGCTTATAAAGACAAGGGAGAAATGTAACTACCAGGAAATTCCCTTTCTAGCAGCCCTTCCTGTGCCCATGCCATTAAATAAAGGTTCCAGACGTGGCACAGCCGCTCCCTGAGCTGCTTTCCCTCATTCACCTGCTCACTGTCTCCATATCCACATCCCTATGGAGCCCTCTAGTCCAAAGGCATGGCTCCAGGCTGTGGCATTCACATTCTCTAAAAAAATCCCCTTGCCCAGGATTTTTCTCCTGGGAAACTGAGAAGCCTCAGAGAAAAAGGAAAACAATAATTATCTGATTTGCTTCTCCTGTGTTTTGCTCCTTTGGAATGTGTTTGGGGATTGTTCACCCACAGGTGATTGTTTCATTGGATTCTGCTGTGAGTTGTTTTCACTCTTTGGCCAAGCAGGACCAAGCTGTGTCAGGACTCTGGAAAGAGTCACAAGTTTTCACTATTATCTTTTTAGCATTCTGTAAATATCCTTTCTGTATTCTTTAGTATAGTTTAGTATAGTATTCTTTAATATAATATAGTATCATAAAGCAATAAATTAGCCTTCTGAGAACATGGAGTCAGATCCATCATTCCTTCCATTTTCGGGGAGGAACACAAATACAATACCAGGCTGCTGAACATCCAAACCTACTTTAGAACTCACAAGACAGTAAGAAATTTCCCCAAGAAGTGGGATGGATGCAGCAGAACAGCACCAGGTCTATCAGCAGCCTCTTATCAATGGTCTCCATGAGATACATACTAACATTCCCAATTTCTTCTTTCAGGTGGCCTGGGGACAATTGCACTGCTTGGAATAATTATTGGAATCATTGTTGCAGTTGGAATCCTTGCAGGAATAATAATTGCAGTTGTGAGGAAAATGTCAGGCAGGTACTCGTAAGTAAATTGCTCATCAGGATTTTTCTTCAAGCATCTTCCTCTGAGCAGGGTCACAGGAATCACTTGGGACATTTTGAAGGTTTCTATTTTGACAAAAACCACCTATTTTCCTGGTTTACAGTGCTAGACAGACTCAGCAAGAGCTGCCATGGTGTCTTCATGCTCTCATGAGCTTCAGAAGAACTTTCCAGCCAGTGTGCACATACTATTATAATATCAGGTGCTTGGGGCTAGGATTACTCTGGGACACAGGAACAAAGTCATTTACTAGGATGACAGGTTGCAGAAGTAGTGGATAATATGTGAAAATTGTGTGTCACTGTCACATTTTCTGGAAAAATCCCTTTGCCAGGATTTCTCTCCTGGAAAACTGAGAAGCCTCAGAGAAAAAGGAAAACAATATTATCTCAGTTGCTTCTCCTGTGTTTTGCTGCTTTGGAATGTGGTTGGAGATTGTTTACCCACAGGCGATTGTTTCATTGGTTTCATGTGAGTTATTTTGACTTAATGACCAATCATGGTCAGGCTGTGTCAGGACTCTGGAAAGAGTCATGGATTTTCATTATTATCTTTTTAGCCTTCTGTAAGTATCCTTTCTCTATTCTTTAGTATAGTTTAGTATTCTTTAATATAATATAGACCATAAAGTAATAAATTAGCCTTCTGAGAACATGGAGTCAGATTCATCATTCCTTTCAAAAACAGAGGTCTCAGAAAATACCAGACATTGGGGAGAGATCTCTACCTTATATTTTGGTGACACACAACTCTAAAGAGTTTTACAAACTCTGAAAGTAAGAAAACCCCAGGAAACTGAGCAGATACTGAGCACCAGGAGAAAGCCAAAAAGGAACTAGGAAGAGAAATAAAGAGGTGATAGGAAAGTCAAAGAGAAAAAAAGATTATGTGACTTACATTTGGGTAATGATTAACAATAAAATGTCTGCTTTTTGTTTTCCAGGCCCTAAACACAGTTGAAACAAGCAACCATGCCATTCCCTGATGGAAAATACAAGTGCTTCTTATTTCATTCAAACTAAAGACTATTCCTGTATTTGTGTGAGAAGATGATCCATGGAAAATATAGTCAAAGGATTTCAGATCTATGGGGATACCACACAATTCTAAGGACAACCCTCACACCCCCCCTTCCACAGAGCATGGAATATTTCATAGGATTTTTTACTAACCAGAATTTTACTAGAAGGAAAAGATATTGCAGTAAAAAAACCCTGCAGCAAAGAGATGTACATCTGAAATGTGATTTGCAGGTATTATATGCTTGGGTTTTAAATGTTACCAAAGATTATTTCACATTACATTATATGTATTCTTTTAAAACAAAAGGTGGTTTCGCCTGGTTAAGTGCTCCTTAACTTGTTTATTTACCACATGATGTATCAAAAAGGAGAAATTAGCTTCAGTGAGAACCAGTTATTTACAAATTAGGAAAAATACTGGATATTGGAAGCTAAAATCTTTCTACTGCTGATACAGATTTTCTGCTCTTGATATTTATGTTATTTTGTGGCAAAATATGGTAGGTCTGGCTGGAACTGATCTACCAACTGAAAGCTTGCTCATCTGACTATGGCATCAGGAATTTCCTGCCTTCTCTTGTTGCAGAGACATGCAGGAATTGAAATACACATCCTGAATTAAGGGGTGCTTGGAAAATACCCAGTTTTGATGGGTCACTTTAGAGCTGACGTGTAGAAGCTTTTGAATTAGTGTACACTGTGTTTTCTCATTATGCCTGTCCCATTTTCTAACTGTACAGCTGATTTGTTTGACAACATGAGCAACACCAGGTCAGAATGTGACACTGAAGTGTGATGCAGCTTTTCTGGGGCATATTTAGAGCAGCACAACCCGGATATACAGAGCTCAGAGCAAAGGCTTTGCATGTCAATTGACTGCAGTGCATCAGGTTTCCTAAATGCTATGACACTTTAGTGTTTGGTGTAAAAATCATGAGAATCAATATTATCATCCATTGCTAAATTTGTCAGCTTATGTGTTTGCTTTTCTGTTTCTTTCATGTGCCTTGAACTATCATATCAATACAAGCTTTGGAAATAAAAATCATAATATAAACTGTATTATTTTACAATAATTGTTCTTGATTTCTTAAAAAAACCCCAGTAAAATATCTTACTGTTCTTTCAATTTTCCTGACTTATTTTGCTACTTGTCTTATCAATGTAATGTCTACAACCAACTCATTTGACATTGATAAATGAAATTATAATTGAAAAGTAAATATGTGAGAGAAAACTAATTCAGAAGTCTGTAGTTAGTTCTGGAGCTGATTGATGAGACCCTCAGTCTGTGACCAAGGAGTAAGCTTAATCTTTATCATTGTGTAAATTGATAAATAAGCAGCAAAATTCCAGTTTTTTCTTCTTGCAGCAAAAGAATATTAATTCTGTTAGCCTCAATTTAACATTTTCTAATCTGTACTGGGAAATACCCCATAAGGTGCTCTGATGCCTGCTCAAATCCGTGGCATATGGAATTATGAATTATTCACCCACTGAAGGGAATGCACAGATGTCACCAGTTTCTTCTGCCTCAGCTCACTCACTGCTAATTTGCAAGTACCAAAATGAGGAAACCTTTCTTACTCAATAGTAGCAAGTCCCCCATTTGAAAAATGGATAGCAGAGAACATTTCTGGGCAGTTCTGAGTTTTCATGGGTAGCACAGTTGAACAGGCAGCATTCTGCTCAAGGACACTGTGCTTTGTTCCTGCTCCAGAAGCCATTTTAACTTCATATTAAAACAACAATTTTTCTGGTCTTATCTGTGCCTTTATAGCCCACCCCCTTGTTTAAGGCAAGTTTTTAAATCTTAGGTAAAAAGTCAATCCTTGACCAAATGGCCCACACTCTACTGAAATATTTAGGGGGGGCTTCCAGCACTGGAGACTCAGTAGTAAATATTGTGCTGTATTAAATCTGACCAACAAAAACATGAAGAAAATTTCCTTCTGATTATCAGCTGGAGCCTAGGATACTCAGTTATGGCTAAAGACAGCAAGCATTCTAAAGAAACAGAAGATATCTCTTACTTTGAAATTCCAACTGCTGCTGCTGCACTGATACATTCAATATTCTGATGATTCATACACCTTGCTGCCCAGAAATCTCAAGTGCAGAACATTCCAGTCAGCTTCCAGCAAACCTCAAGAAACAATGGAAAATACATTAAAATCTTGCACATTTGTTATGTATCTATGTGTTACTGAATCCTTAATTTAATTAATCTGTAATTTCATGCTACAAACGTTTTGGAAATGCAGACTAAAGATGCACAGAGGCTTGTATTTCACATGAATCTATTGCAGAATTCTGTTTCTGAGCTGTCACATTATGCAATTTCCTGTTACTAGTTCAGGACCCCAAAGGTGGGTTGAACACAAGCTATGTGGTTTTTTGGTAGAGTTTCCGTGGAAGATGGGACCTTTTGTGCTTTGTGAGAAGTCAAACAGCACATTGCCCCAGGACAAATCCTTCTGTGAGCTGAAAAATGAGTGATCAGAACAACCAAGGCCAAGGTCAGGAGATTTCCTATGCATGAAGGAAACAACAGCTCCATGCTTTCACCAGCTGGCCAAGCTTGACTTTTATTCACAGGGAACAACACTCAATAAATCAACACTTGCTTTTAACTTCAAGCCCTCACTCCTGATCATATTCATTCCTTTAGAGTTAGTAACAATAATGTTCCCTTTTGCAGCTTGGCTTTGAGTCATGAATGTGGCTCCCCTGAACAGACAAGCAGGCACCAGGCTTCCTGTGAGAATGCCAGATGTCACTAAAAAATATCATAAACAGTGTTGTCCCCTTGCATTTGTGTCTGTGGGGAAGATACACAGCAGTAGGAACTATGAAAGCAGTGACTTGATACATCAATATTTATAATAGTTCTGGACATCAATACAGCAATTCTTACAAGGGTTCATTTGAGGCATGATTTTCCTGTAAGAACAGAAAATGTCAGAAGAATTAATTCAATAAAACCAGCACTAAAAACGTGTGCACCAGAAGAATTATGGAGATTGACTTACTCCTATCAATTAATTATAGGAGTTGTTAATTTATAATTAAATATCAATTAAAATATGCAGCAATTGCTTATTATTTTATGAGCACGGCAGTATGCCATTACAATTATCTTAACCACATCTGATTTTATTAAAGAGTAAGGACAGCCTGCACATTAACACCTCTGTAAAGAGTTCAAACTCAACAGCACTGAAGCATTGTTCACAGGCAGATGGCAAACACTGCCAGATGAAGTGGCTTGCCAAAGGTTATAACACAGGTAAGAGAAAAGTCACCAACCCAGGAAACTTTAAACATTAAAACATTAGCCCTGTCAGAGGTCCATATTAGTTCCCATGAAGTGAAGTTCCATTACATTTTACAGTAACACCATCCTTAATGTGCTTTTCTATAAGGCAGGAACAAAGGATAGAGAGCAAAAACGCCCCTCACTGAATCCCCAAGAGCACTCTGGTCAGGAGTGTGCTTGGGCTGCTTTTAATGAGGAACAATCTAAAATAAATAAATAAATTAAATAATTAATTAATTTCTCTGGCACCAGCTGAAGTTCTGCAGCGGTGATGCTGCTGAACTGCTTTTAATGAGGAACAATCTAAAATTAATTAATTAATTTCTCTGGCACCAGCTGAAGTTCTGCAGTATTGATGCTGCTGAACCACCTTAAAGCTTAAGAAGACATTGTTACACCTATTTGTACTCACCTACTTCACCAGCTGAAATATCAGATTGGCCATACCCATCCTTCTGCAGGCAGTTTTTTTTAAACTGAAGGATTAATCATACTGAAATCCCCATTTTTTGTTTGACAAGTCCTGATGGATGCAGGAGGTAACAGGGGATCTGTAACTTGACACCAGGTGCCATAATGAGAAGGCTGAATTAATGCTTTGTACACTTTTCCCAGCTGCAGCATGGAGGTATTTATGGATAA